CTGTTTTTGTAACATAATTCAACATACCATAATAAAAGTTTCAGCAATTATAAACAATTGAAACTGTCACATGATAGAAATTAACACAGAATGAACAACACACTAATAAATGAAACAAAGATTATTTTCTTAAGAGAGGGCTGGTTGATTGACAGCTGTCAGTCAAACAACTGACGAACGTCAAGAACCAGAGAACATACCTCAGATGAAAAGATCAAGAAAACTAATCAATAACTCCATAATCACACGTGTACGCGTTATCTTATGAGAACAACGGATACACACACATTTATTGATCCAGCTATTCCAGAATTTCACCTCGACATTAAAACGCTGCGATAATAATAGCTAAACCGGTCAGCATCAGTAGATCTGACGTGATTTATGAGCGTTTCAGGGGCATTTATGAATAGTAATAATCTGAACCTCACGTGTAAAGCAAAACGAGTTTAATTTCAAAGCCAGAAACAGAACAAGCCATCAGCCGGACTAGAACAGACAGAAAGACTCAGTTTGAGTCTGTGACAAAGCAAACAGGAAGTGATGTCAAACTAAAGTTCCTGTTCTCGCTTAATCCCATTAGCTGTCTTTCAATACCCACAATGCACGTCTGTCTCAAGGTCAACAGCAACCTACATTTATTCACTCAATACAAAAATTGCTCAAAAAAGTGGGACGGAAATCAGATTAGAACTTTTTTTTTCTGGTACGTAACAGATTTTTCACCGTCCAATCAACTCCTACTAAATAAATCAAGCCCCGCCCTACAAAAATTACGGGAAAATTGGTTTGAAAAATCAGAGATGCATTTTTAGATTAGATTAAGGATGATGAACTCTAATAAAAACATATCACTCCAATAAATCAGAGACATATTTGGGAAGTGATGAGGGTTTCATTTCTCTGTTGGTTTCCAATGACAATGTCGCTCTCTCTTTCACAAGAACTCAACAACAAAGGCCTAATCGTAAAACCGTGATTATTCCTCCGACAATAATCGTACCAACAAAATCTATAATCGTTGCATCCCAACAGCATACAAGCAAAACTGAAACGGCATTGGGCTCATTCCACAAGAATCCAAATGTTTCCATTTTTGCCATATTTGTTTGCATAACTATTATTGATTATGCAGCCTTTATACTTCAGTCATGTTCTAATACATTTGTTTGGGCACTGCACGCTCTTCTTTTAAAATAAACAGTGTAACTTTTATGTTTGGTTGACTGCATTTTAAAATAAACCGTGTTTTAGTTTAATGACGAATGGCTGAACTAATATTGTTTGTGCGTGCATGCGGCGCCTACGCGATCAGAAGGATTAAATCAAATAAAGATATAACGAAAAGAAATCAAATGCATTAAGAGCGTCACAAAAACGAGCGAAGCCTGTACTTGTTGCAGTGTTTTTTTTTCTTTTGTTAATCTTTTAATTATGTTATAGCCTATTATTTATTTTGCGTGGTTCTATTTATTTTATTCCTCTTATAGAATATAACTATATAAGCTAGTTTTAGCTTTATAAATCTATTTTGGAGACAATAAAAAAGGTTTATTGAACAAATAAGTAAAATACAAAATAACATTTTTTT